GTAGAGAGTAGAGAGTAGAGAGTAGAGAGTAGAGAGTAGAGAGTAGAGAGTAGAGAGTAGAGAGTAGAGGTAAGAGGTAAGAGGTACGTACTCGCAGTCAGTTCATGGGCCGTGGCCAAGGCGGGTCCGTCTCTACACGCACCCACACCAAACGACGCTAGTCCTTCGTTGCGCGCAGGCGACATGTAGCTCACAGCGCCTTCTCCTGGCATGAGTCCCTGATGGCCCAGCTGGTTAAGGCGTCCGACTGTTAATTTGGCAAATCGGGAGATCCACAGTTCGATCCTGTGTCGGGGAGTTCATACTTTTTGCACGTTTGCGCTCAACACCAAAGTAACTCGCAATGTTGCTTTTCATACGAGATTACTTCTTGTTTTCACGTATTTTTGAGGATCCTGTCCATACCACCATTTGGCACCATTTAAATTCCATTCCATTTGCTGCCTGCTGTAGATTTTTTTTTGGCCTGTCCTGGGCCCCAAGTCAGTAGTGCCTTCCTGATCGATACCCCCCCTCGCTCATGTTGTTCCTTCCACCTCTGTAAATGCAATGGCGCCCGAATGGTCCTCAACAACCATCTGTACACGACGCCCACGAAAACGCAACCCACACCTCATCCTCTCTCCCTGTGATCAGACCCTTGGGTTGAATCCTCCACCAGGCATCCCTCGGCACTTCCCCGCGAATTCACATGTCTGGGCGCTCGGTAGATCCTCGATACCACCATATGAGACAACATCGTATCCCGCATGGGCAGTATTGTCCGATCGACGGCGCTCGCAGCAACCCTAACGCACACTCCTTTATGGCCCGATTCGGAAATACCTTGCGATGCAACAGTACAACACTGCAACTCAGCCCTCCCCGCCCCGTCCACCGAAGGTTGAGGATGGTGGCCCTCAACTGCCGAAGAGGCAACCGAACACGATTTCCTCCTTCTGGGGGCAGCAGGAGAGCGTGACACGCATCATCGAAGACCTCGGCGCCTGCCATGCGAGGCGTATAAGAGAAGAGATGGAGGCCGCCCAAAGGACAGGCACACGACAGTAGACCACTCACCGCAGAGTTGCTGACAAGATTGCATTTTGCCATCTCCATCCACCGACCGAGAACGCCCTCCTCGCCATGTTCCACACCTCGCCCATACGCAGCATCCGCCGTGTGGCCATCGCACTCGGCGTCCTAGCCTGCCATCTCGCGACTCTGACCCACGGCCTGCCCTCGCCCGCCGCCGATGCCATGACGGCCGGCGAGTGGCTGGAGCGCACCGATGCGTCCGCCCTCGCCCCGCGGCAAGACATACCCCCGGGCCTCGGCCAGTTCCCCGCGGGCCCGCTGAACCAGTTCCTCCGGATCATCAGCTCGCTGCCGGCGGGCGAGCGCGCCCTCGACGCCGTCGCCAAGATCCTGACGCCGCTGCAGCAGGGCCTCGCCACCGCCGCCGGCATCGACACGACGAGGGAGGACCTCGCGCAGGAGGCCCCGTGCGCCGCCGTCACCGTCGTCTTCGCGCGCGGCACGACCGAGCCCGGCTCCGTCGGCCTCATCGCCGGCCCCCCCTTCTTCGACGCCCTGCGCGACCAGCTCGGCGCCGAGACCCTCGCCGTCCAGGGCGTCGCGTATCCGGCCACCTTTGCCGGCTTCAACAGGAATGGCACGGACGGCGTGCCGAGCATGTAAGCAAAGACCATGCAGCGGAGCGCGCGCGCAGGGCCAAGACGCTGGACCTGGTCCAAGACGGCCCACTCGGCAAAAGACAGCCACCAAAACTTGGCAGAGACGGCTGACGCGAACTGTGAACAGGACGGCCTTCGTCGACCAGGCGGCGACCCGGTGCCCAGACACCAAGATTGTCATGGCCGGGTACTCCCAGGGCGCCCTCGTCGTGCGCAGCACCGCCGCCGCGCTGCCCGCCGGCACCATGGCCAAGGTCAGCTCGGTCGTGACCTTTGGCGACCCGCGCAACCCGGCGCCCGTCACCGGCGCCGCCGGCAAGACCCTGATCCTCTGCCAGCAGGACGACGCCGTCTGCAGCGGCGGCTTCATCACCGTCGCGCACTTGACGTACGGCGCGAACGCCACGGCGGCCGCCGCGTTTGTCGTTCAGAAGGCCCACGGTGCGTGATGGGAAGGGGGGGGGCGGGGGCGTCGTGCATGTACACAGGCTTCGCCATGGGTGGACGGATCTGTCGGACTCGGCATGGCCGCGGCAGGAATAGAGGCCCCTCTCTCTCTCTGCCTTGGCCCGCGAGTCACGGCGGCATGGCACGGCTGGGCATAGTTGCCGTAGGCAAGCCCAGCAGCAGCAGTCTTGCAAGCACAATGTGTGTGACCAGGCACAATCAGAGTCCAAAGCACTGCAGCCACGGAGGTGAAATATTGTCAGTCGCGTTGATTGTCGTGTACCGAATACATACCTGGCCGTCATCCCTCCGTCTGGTGGTGGCTCCTGTCCATTCTACCTCGTGCAGACTGGCCAAAGCGACGACCATGCTTCACTCAGTGTGTCAATTGCCTCAACACGAGTATGTGAACAAGGCCTTGTTTGGTCAGGTGATCATTCCCAAATCAACTCAAATTGCAAAGGAAGAAACAAAGGACGAACAACCCTGCAGACAATACCACGCTGCGTAGTCGGCAATCAGGGAAGGCGGAGTTCGGCAGGCGAGCTCTGGCGAGATCGTCGCCTGCAATCTTAAGATCAGATTGGGCATGCAACGAACAGACGCACGCGTGTAACAGATAGAGCGCAACATGACAAGAATTAAGGATTTTTATTTTTTTATTTTTTGCTGCCGTGCATTTGTACCATGTAGTGCTCGTTATGGTGGATCCCTGCCGTGTAGTGGTAGTCATCAAGGCGTGCGACCTACTGTCGTCTTGCCGCGTCACTGTCGAGCGCTGTATCCGGGTCTTTTTGGGTATCATCTCATCTCATAGCCAGTCAAACCACCCCCGGACGGCTGTCCCCCATTTTTTTCACGTCCTCATCGCATCACACGCAGAGCGCACTCTCACAGCCAGGGTCGGACAAGGACAAGTCGCGTCGCTGCACGTTCTGCATTCCATACACAGACGCACCGTTTACAGGATCTCCTCGGGCTTCACCTTGATCCAGTTCTGGTCAGCGGTAACGGGGAGACCAAGCTTCCTCTGCTGGTCGGCGTTGTCTCTGATCATGCCGTCAATCTGGGTGCGATAGCTCGCCTTGCGATCGACCCACACGCGAACGCCACCCTTCCAAACGTCGACATCATGGAAGAGCATGTAGCCGTCGCTGGTGGGCGTGTCGCCGCCAACCAGGACGGGCTTCTTCCACTGGTTGATGTACGTCAGGATGGCAGCGTGCTTGCCTGCCATCCAGGTAAGGGGTGTCCATAGATAGGGGGTCAGCGTGAAGTCGAGGTTGGCCTTCTCGTCATACGTTCCGGCTTCGATCTGCTTGCGGGCCGTGGTCGGGCTCGAGGGGTCCGCAGGGTTGGCGAGAAGCATGGTGACACCAATGACGTTCTTAGCCGGCACGTTGTAGCCATACTTGGGGTCCGAGGCGACCATGCGAACGAGCTCCTCCGAGGCCGCCGTCATGATGTAGACGTCAATGCCGTTCTCCATCAGGCGGTTGAAGAGCTCCTGCTGGCCACGGAAGGGCTTGGGCGGGTTGATGGCAATGGGCGTCACGACGTCGCCCTCGAAGTAGGTGGCGGGAATGGTACCGTTGTGGGCCATGAGCTGGTCGACGTAGCCTTTGAGGGCACGCAGCGTCAAGCCTGAGAAGACCTGCGCGACCCAGGGGTAGCAGATGAGGTCGTCAACTTCGCAGAGGCGGTAGTAGTAGCTGAAGAGCGTCTCGTTGTGCGAAGGCGTATCCTTGAACGGGATCAGGTGGAGAGACGGATCGAGCGTCTCGCGGGTAATGATGCCACGGTTCTCAAGGAACGGCAGCAGCGATTCTTCAAGGTCGAAGCGGTACGACGTGTTGTCCATGTCGAACACGGCGTAGTTGCCCTGGTGAGCATTGGCGCGGATCATGGCGTTCAGGATATCGGCGGCCTGCTTTGGCCAGTGAGTAAGGGCCGTACCCTTGTCGGGCTGCGGCTGCTCCCAAGGCTTGCCCCAAGGGTTGCCCCAAGGTTGGCCCCAAGGTTGGCCCCCAGGAGACGGCCAACCCCAGCCCCGGAAGGGAGAGGCCTCTGAGGAAGAGATAGTAGCCGCGAGGACAGCCAGAAGGCTGGAGCTGGAGGTGAACTTCATCTTGAAGAGTTGACGAGGGGTCTCAAGGAGCGGGAAGAGGTAGCTGCGAGTGGCAAGGCAGGGTGAGGAGCAGTTCACAACGGGATCAACAGGCAGGAGGCGAGCTCTTTAAATCCCCCAGCAAGTGGGAGCAAACGTCAGAAAACTCAATGGGACCCAACAATCGAGAGCGATTTCCACGCGCAGGCAAGATCGGCGGGGCCTCATCACTGCTGTCGACGCTTGTTGATACGAGCAGCGGGCCCCCTCCTCTCCACAGAGCCTGGCGTCCACGAGGTTGAGGTCCGGCGGTCCTCCAAGAGCTGGCATGCAGCAGCGCCGTCGACAGGGCTGGCGGGCGAGCACACGACAGGCTGCCCGATGAGACCCAGGAGGGCAACCATGAGGGAAATGCGACTCTGTCGCCGAACAAAGCGCGGGTGTGTGCAGCTGGCTCGCAATGTGACATGGGGGTGGGACAGACGGCGACGCCGCCGAGGCGCGACCATGACTCGCTGCGGGGCGGACTCCGGGGGTACCGGTTGTTGACCCAATTACGTAGATGCCGTGTGGGGGTCCTCGGGAGGCCAAGAAACGGAGGAGGGACTCCATCATCGGCGGTCGGAACGGCGGTGGTCATGGTTGGACTGAGAGGCGGAATGGTGTTGAGAGCGAATGTTGTGGCGCGAGTGCCAGGCAGAGGGCATCCATTGTGTCGTTGGTAGATACCTAAGCAACAAGCAAAGTATTGCGAGAAGAATCAGCAAGGCATATCAACAGCACGTATGCAGCAAGACTGAAGAAAACCGAACCAGCCTAGCGAGCTCGCTTGTGCCAAGGTTCGAAGCCGTCTTGGACAGGGAGTTGAGGGGGGGGGGAAAGGTCGACTTCCACAATACTGACGACCGGTTGCAGGAACCATGCAGATGGGCTGCCCAGATCTGCCAATGATGCTGCTGTAGTCAGCAAGTTTATCAGGCTAATCTTGATTCGTCCAGAGCTCAGCAAGCCACCCCTTGTACCTACCCAGCACCTTCCCGTGGCTTTGTCCAATGGCAGGCTCGACAATAAGTTCAGGCCACCCTCTGTGAGGAACCCTGCTGTGAGTGGAGCCAGCATGCTGAATTGCAACTCCACAGAGCAAGGCCCTCTCAGTTCCCTGGTTGCAACGCGAGACTCTCTTTCTTTCAGGCCACTGAGGAGATGAGTGGCAGGCCTTTCTTTGTGTTCTTGTTCTTGTTCTCCGGATCCGGATCAGGTTCTGCCCCTGAACCAAGTGCTTGGATAGCTTGGCGTCATTTTTTTTTTCCCCCAGAGTACAAGTTCATTATGAGCTCGGTTTAAACCCCGAGATTCCTCATCCTCGGATAGCAGCTTTGAGGAGGAAGAAGAAGAGGAGCATAAACTTTGGCCTTCACAGACCAAGCTCGCATCGTCCTTCGAGTTCTTTGAACCGACTTGAGCTATACATTCGAAGCGGTATTCAAAGCGACCGCCTTCCCAAAGCGATCAACCTGTTTGGGTGGCCTGGTTGAACATATAGTCAGCACACGTTGATGGCTAGTACACCAGGCTGCTAGCACCAGCCGCTGTTGGGTTTCGTCTGACCCCAAGGTGGTTGGTGCTTTTAGCAACCCCAGCAGATGCCGACTGCACCTCCACATTTCCGATGACATCGATGCCAGGCACACCCGTCTTATCGCCTCTTATCAAAAGCCGAGACCCACCATTTCGGCGGTTACGAAGCAACGCCAGAGCACGAGCACATGAGCACGCGTGCAGGCTAGCTGCCTCGAGCGTGCCCCCCCCCCCCCCATGACGAGTGACTGATGGCCCGCATCCTCTGAGCCGACGACTCCTCCCTCTCCACCACTTTACATCATCATCACATCGCTGCACCTTCACAATAATCGCAACAATCATGAAGTTCTCCAAGGCCTCCGCCCTCGCGCTCATGCTGCCGGCAGCATCCGCTCGCCACATTCTCAAGGAAGAGACCGACAACGTCGTCCTCTACCCCAACGAGATCGAGCAACAGACCTACCTCATCGAGCTCGCTCCTGGCAACACGAGATGGGTCACCGAGGAGGAGAAGTGGGAGCTTCGCCGCGTACGTTTACAATGAAGCTGGTATTGCCTGCACGTTCTAGACTGACATCGCAAACAGAATGGCGAGCGCTTCTTCGACATCACCGACAACCAGGACCTCGGCGCCACCCGTGTTCATGCCGACTCAAAGAAGGCCGTCTTTCCCGAGAAGTGTACCCAGCAAGACAACGTCAAGCCTATCCTCGACGATCTTGACAAGAGCAACATCAAGAGGCGCCTCGAAAAATTCACAAGCTTCCACACGCGATACTACAAGTCTGACTACGGTCGCCAGTCGTCCGAGTGGCTTCTCAGCGAGATCAACTCCATCATCAAGGACGCCGGCGGTGACAAGCATGGCATTTACGCCCAGCACTTCCCACACACCTGGCAACAGAGCTCCATCATCGCCACCATCCCCGGCAAGACCAACAGCACTGTTGTCATTGGCGCACACCAAGACTCCATCAACCTCTTCCTGCCCAGTATCCTCGCTGCGCCCGGCGCCGACGACGATGGCAGTGGCTCCATGACCATCCTCGAGGTCTTCCGCGTCTTCCTCGGCGTCAAGGACGTCCTCAAGGGCAAGTCGGAGAACACCATCGAATTCCACTGGTACAGTGCCGAGGAGGGCGGCCTTCTCGGCAGCCAGGCCATCTTCTCGCGGTATGAGAAGGACGACCGCGACGTCAAGGCCATGCTGCAGCAGGACATGACTGGATTCGTACAGAGGACTATTGATGCTGGCCGTCCCGAGAGCGTCGGTGTCATCACTGACTACGTAAACACTGGCCTGACTGACTTTATCAAGAAGGTCATTGTTGAGGTAAGCTTCTGACTCCCTTTGGGTCCCGATATCTCAATGACCGCTGACTCGGGCTCCTAAGTACTGCGACATTCCCTACGTCGAGACCAAGTGCGGATATGCATGCTCGGACCACGCGTCCGCAAGCAAGGCCGGCTACCCGTCGGCCTTTGTCATTGAGAGCTCCTTTGAGGACTCGGACAACCACATTCACTCGACCGATGACCTGATCAAGTACCTGTCGTTCGACCACATGCTGCAGCACGCCAAGATGACGCTCGGCCTCGTGTATGAGCTGGGCTTCACCGACTTTGCCGCTCTCGAACACAAGAGCGATGGGGTTGTTTTTGATGACTTGTAAATATCGGACATGTAGATGATCTAGGGAGAGGCGGAAACGATCAATCTAGGGTTTGAGACAGCAACAGAACATTTGGTCAGTCCCAGTCAATCGCATGTCATTGGCGGCACTGTCAAACCTTGTGTTTAGAACAGTGTGATCTCCTAAAACGGTTCCCGCCATCAAAGCTGTATCCGGAGAAGATTTTAGTATGATTTCATGTGACACATTGCGACATAAAGCAAGACGTGACATGACGGTGTAAGTCGACTTCGGACGGTGACGCCCGACTAATCCCCAAAGCTGCAGGGAGCAGGGGCGGCCAGCGTCCCCCACTGTTGCTCGCTCAGGTACCACGAGGCAACCATGCCCTACGGCAGGCAGGCGTCACACTAGTGCCCGGGGCTCCTTCTCCACTTCAACTCCGAAGATGCCCCTCCAAAAGAACCTCCTACTTCCTTCCCCCAAAACGATATGAACTGTTCACCTTTCATCGACCAAAACATTCCAGCGCTCAAGGTCATTTCTCAGTCGAAACCATCCTTACAGCCAGAAACGCGTTTGATGAATTTTTTTGGTAGTTTGGGCGAGAGAAACTAGTTTCCGGCATCATTCTCAACCCTTGTTTCTGCGGGTTCTGGCCTTCGTGACGGACAGCATGGGTGATCTGCCGATGACAGGCATGCCCAGCGGCTTCTCAAAGTCGATCATGGCAGCTGCGCCATATGAAAGTCGACCTCCCAGCCCGCCGTACATACATGTACCGTTAACGACACTCCGAGAGATGACACTGGATCCCTTTCTGGGCAACCTCGCAACCCTCGGCATCACAGCCGCTGAGTACAGCATCATCACCAACAATGGAACCCCGCAGCAGGCTAGCGATCCCTCCGAAGAGTGGACGTACGAATCGCGTCGTGAAGCTCAGGCGGTTGTTGACTGGCTCTACCTCGGTCCTCACTCAGCCTCACGCGACCAGGCTTTCCTCGAGCGTGAGGGCATCACCATGATCCTCGCTGTCGGCTACGCGAGCGACATCACCAAGCCAACAACACTCGTCACATTGGGCCCCACGGCAGCCACCCGTGCACTCGGTATCATGATGGACAGGGTTGACGTTAAGAGCATGCACAACCTCACCAGAGTGTACACCACAGCCGCCAAAAAGATCAACGACCATATCTTGGAGGTCCATCGTAGCCAGGCCGATAGTGGAGCCGTCGTATCGCACAGGCGCGGCAAGGTCCTCGTCGTTTGCGAATCGGGAAATGACCGCTCTGCTATGGTTGTTACTGCATACCTCATGGTCATGTTTGGCTTGGACCTCATTACAACTGTTTCCTACGTCACCATGAAAAGGTTCTCCGCCATGTATGACGAGGATTCAAAGAGGTTACTGGTTGCGTGGCACGACATCCTGGCAGCACAGAGATCAGTCACTGCCCAGGTGATGGCTTCGACGGCATGCAAAGATGCACGAAGTGAGCCTCGCAAGCGAGGGATCGAGATGATGTTTGACGGTCACCAATGCGGAGGTTCAGGCCAAGACGAGAGAATGGACCGTAACGATGACGAAAGCCGCTTCGGCAACAGGAATTTTGTACCCTTCATGGACACGGGAAACTGAAACGAACGACGCACCAAGGTCAGGGAAAGAAGACGATAGTGTCAGGTTTTACACTTTTGGACTGTCTCGACAAGCATGTCATTGAGATGGGAAGATTGCCTTGAGCCAGCCCAAAACCTGTCCTTGAGGCGTTTCTGGACAGCATTGTGTTAACGATAGAGGAAGGAACAGGCGTTAGGGGTGTGTCATTGAATTACCGAATGCTCTATACCCAGCTTAGCTAGCGGAGACGACAGGGTGGTTGGCCAGTGAGAAGACGCAAGTCACTGTTCACCCGTGAATGTAAGTCACAAGGCCATTTCGTAATAAACTTGAGTCAACACGTGTGCGCGGACCTGGTGAAGAACACGAGAAACCTTGGTCCTGGGGGGGTTGAGCCATCTCGCTCCTCCTCGGTATGTTTCTGTCCTTGCTCATGAACGTGCTGCAATACTTCACGGCGCCCCTCTTGTGAAAAGGCAACGATGACCCGCCGTGTCCGCCATGCTTATCACCATAGCTCGTCCCAGCGAAAACGCCTCCACAATAATGCCCCTAGCTGGCAAACATTCCCGAACCTACATCTCGATCCATAGATTCTGGACTCAAGGTCCTACAACGACCGCAACACAATCGAACGCGACAGCTTGTCTCGATAAACTATTCTCCCGAGAGACATAGCCCGGTGATGTCAAGGGTTAGCACCGATGCAATAGCAACCCCCTCCGGCCTCGGAGCAACACACTGCAGCTGTTGACAAAGTCTTGTCTACAAGATTTGGACTCGACAGCCGAAGAGGCAGACGCTTACCCCTATTTTAGGGACCATGTCGTAGCTCAAGGAGGTTTTCGGAGAGAGTATAGGCGCATGCCGGGACCTAAAAATTCTGAGCACAGCCAGTCATCTTAGTAGCAACGACTCGGCTTCTCCGGCGGAAATGTGGTCAGGACAACTGTAGATGCATCGAACAGCGACGAAAGTGGTCGGGAGCGATGAGCATGCGACTGCAGAGCAACAGGCTGGTCCTTGGTTCATCAATAGTGACATGGGAGACGATGTCTCACGGCAACGCCTTTCGGAACGAGCACCGGCGAGCCCGCCAGCTAGGAGCTTTTCGATCGTTTGTGTTCGTCGTCACCCCCATGAATGCCATTCAGCACGGCATGTCATTCGTCAACTGAGGCAGATGACTTTCCGGAGTCCGGTGTACCATTTGAAGGGGTGACTTGCCCGAAAGCCTTCTGACCTCTGTGTTGAAGGATTTCGATCATTCGACCTCCTCGAATTATTAGGAACACGAGGATAATGGTGGAGACGCTAACCCATTGCGAGGAGACAGCTGGTTGATGTTGCAATTCAGAGGCTTTTAAAGCTTCATTCATCTACATCAATGGCAATATCGTCAATTAAGCTGATTAAAGAACAAAGGTCTAGTGGAGTACAACCCAGGATTGATTCTCAGCGCATGATGGTTCCACACACAACCTCTCAAGGCAAATGAACAGAGCAACTTGGGTGTTCGCTGCTGACTAAGACAAACTGGCCAGCCGGTGACGTCCATCCTGCGGTCCGGAGTGGTTGTGGGGTTCAAGTACCTAAGAATTAGGCGTGGGCAAGCTTGGAGCTTGGCGGATGGAGCGGGCTCATACTGGCCTGTGGTGGGACGGTGCTCGATATGACCGACCAGGTACGCGGCAGCACACCACAGCCACCCACTCTGCCACTGTACCTACCATACCTACCTGAGGGTGAGGAGGCCTTCCAACCTGCCGGCGTACATCATCACCACCACGACCACAACTGCCACCGATTCGGTCCTCGTCGCATAGCGCTCGTATACCCTCGCCACGAGCTGCACTGTCTCTCTCGGCGCCTGCTGCCAGCGACCAATCTGATCTCTGCCCCCACCCCCTGACACTATCCGATCTACACAACAACACCCCCGCCGACCTCCGAGATGGCACCCCGAATCGAACCGGCCGAAGTCGAGACATACTGGAACATCTTCTCGACCCGGACAGGCGGCGGAAAGTTCCTGACCGGCGAGCAAGCGGCGCCGGTGCTGAAAAACAGCGGTCTCACAGACACGCAGCTCGAGCGAGTATGGGATCTGGCCGATGTCGACAACGATGGCAACCTTGACTTTGAGGAGTTCTGTGTCGCCATGCGCATCATCTTTGACATTCTGAATGGAGTGCGTCTACACGCCAACTTTTCGCCGACATGATTGTGGCACGGTCACTGACGTTGTTGCTCGTAGGAATACGCAGATGTACCGACTGTCCTGCCGGACTGGCTGGTGCCCGAGTCCAAAGCGCACCTGGTCCAAGCAAGTAAGGCCATTACCGGAAACCAACCGCGCTTCGAGCAGGTGGAGGACGAAGAGGAAGACTCAGGCCTGAAGGACGGGTTCGATTGGTACATGACACCGCAAGACAAGGCCAAGTACGAGTCGATATATCAGGAAAACCGCGACATGCGCGGCGAGATAGCCTGTGAGTCGGAACAAAGCCTAGCCCGTCGCTGGCCCTCCAGCTTCGCCGCCTCCCCATCCGTCTCGCCCCTGCTGACCGAAGACCTCAGTCAACTCACTTGAAGACCTCTACGAATCCCTCGACGTCCCCGACACGGACATCCGCTCCGCGTGGAACCTCATCAACCCCTCAGCCGGCTCTTCCATCAACAAGGACGCCAGCCTCGCCTTCCTCCACATCCTCAACAACCGCCACGAAGGGTTCCGCATCCCCCGCACCGTGCCCGCCTCGCTCCGGGCCAGCTTTGAGCGCAACAAGATCGACTACCAGCTCGACAACCAGCGCACCGGCGCCGCCTCCCGGTGGGCCACCAAGGCCGACGACTCGACGGCGACGGGGCGCAAGGCCAAGTTCGGCGACCAGTACCTCACGCGCCTCGGCCGCAGCGGTTTCAAGTCCGGCGGCACCGACTTTAGCACCCCGAAGGAGGGCGACTGGGAGGAGGTCCGCCTCAAGCGCCAGCTGCAGGAGCTCGACGAGAAGATTGCCCGCGTCGAGGCCGACGTCGAGCGCAAGAAGGGCGGCAAGCGCGACAGCAAGCCCGCCCTCGTCAAGAGGGAGCTCGAGCAGCTGCTCGACTACAAGCGCACGGAGCTGCGGGAGCTCGAGCAGGGCGAGGGCAAGGCCAAGGTCGGCCAGTCCCTCAAGGGCATTGAGGAGGACCTGCAGACGGTGCGCGAGCAGATTGAGGGTCTTGAGTCGCACCTGACTTCGCGAAACCACGTTCTCGAGCAGCTGCGACAGGAGATTGAGAATGAAAAGGTCAATCGATAGAGAAAAGGAGACGAGGGGTGGGGGACAAGGTGCTGCGTTTTCAATTTTGGGCCATGATTTGGATTCAACAGGTTTGGTGGGGGTTGCTTCTTGCTTCAGCATGTAAA